CAAGTAAGGTCCGGTTTGTCCAGTTTGGCAGTAATGATTTGCATCCGAACGAAACCAGTCACGTGACTAATCCGCAATGGATAGAAGATATTTACATTCAGGGCAATGACGAACAAAAACATTCCGGTATAAATATTTCTCTTTACAACAAATCTTAGTGGGATAGTTTTGTGCACTCACTCTCGATGGAATTTATAACCGTCAAATAGGTGCCAATGTGCAGGCGAACACCCTCCCAAGAGTTCATACTATTGATTTGATTTCAGTTGTCTGCTGTTCGTTAATCAACTGCCTGGCAAAAATGCTTCTTCGATAATAATAATAACAATAATGGTAAATATCACTTATCGTTACCAACCCCCTAGATTTTGATAGTATACCCGATGAACGTTATCAGTGAAGTACCATCAACTTCACTGCCTCACTGCTCACACATCAGAACAACTGTCTGCAAAGAACATTTCATGGTTTGAGTTATTGATCGATGGGAGGTAGTCGCCATTTTTGTTTTATCACATGACCACACATATGTAACCAAAATTCCTAAGTTTAGGCATTCTGTTTTTCAATTATTTCTGTTTCGTATTACAATAGCTGAGTTGTTTGTGACAAACAAAGGTGTAATCGAAACAACCTCGCACCCTTACAATTAGTCCTGAAATTTATTTTACCTTTCGCTTACTCATGAGTAGCATATCGGTTTTCATAACAATTAGTTATGAACTATGGTGAGACTCATTGGTGTTACCATTCGTTGTCCATTGGCTGTGGTGACCTCAGGCGCTCTCCGGAACAAAATTACCCATGGGCGACACAGTCTTCTCCAGTGACAGTGGAAAGTCTTATCCAGACCTCGCATTGAGTACTCGTGCAGCTGGTGTCAATTATTTTCGTTTGGACCCGCTGATTAAGGAATTTGAATTTTGCGACGACAAGGAATTGGATCGTTCGAGACGTTTTCGACTACTCCAGTTACGTCAAGCTGGTGTTACTCAATTCAAGTCCCTATCTGTCCCCGTCGCTTCAAGGTTCATCCCTTCAGATGTGTTTCAAGTAGGTCGAGTTTTTGCTTTAAGAATGATCTTTGCTGCCAGCTGACTGTGTGGTTTTTGTTGCGATTATCCAGCAAATAGTTGTGGGAAAACAACTTTGCATACTGGATATACTACTCAAACTAATCGGTTCGGTTTGTATTTCCACTGTTCTAATACAATACGAATGTGAAGTGGCACGATGGTGAACAAACTTCCCGATCATTACTGTTCAATAATCTGGATGGAACAAACTCGATTACAGAAATCAGTTGGGCTTCTGTAAACTCGTAGGTTGTGGAAGGTGGAGAAAGCGTACATTGCGCAACGAAAATCAAGCGTGTCATGAACAGCAAAGAGGACCAGTCGGATTTGAATATTGACATTTGAATCAGTCGAAGACTGCCAATTTTGATGCAAACCACCAAGTCAATTATTTTGATAGACGTTTTCTGTACTATTCCCGCTTCCCTTTTCCATCTGGGCCAGTATCACTTACTATGTTGTTCCGTAAACTATTCTCTTGATAAAATCGGTCTTTCTGCTATGCCGTTTTCTGTTTGACCTTAACAGGAATATGACAAAAAACGGAGTGAGACGGGAATCAAAGATGCCAGAGGAATGCGAGCATATCGTGTGCGACATCAGCTCTACGTAGAAAAGGTAATTAGTGAACGAGTTACGTTCAATCGTTGTTCAAATACTTTTCTGCACAAGAACAGTGTTTTCGTTGTTGAATTACCGCAAGCGAGCTTGTTTGTTACTGTGTATTTATTATTTTTATTTACCATATCCAGATCAAGGCTCAGGTGAGTCAACGATTTCAAGAAGCGCTGCGTCAGAAATCATACAAAGAAGTTGTGATCGAGGAGAAAATACCAAACTTCTTGTGAGTTTGCTTTTCTGTCCATCGGGCCCCGATCCCCATTTTGAAGGTGTTTCATATTCACAACCCACTTTCCTTTGTTATCTGTTTCTGTGTTTCAGTTTCATTCTTCCACTCCTACGAAGAATGACCGAAGCTCGACGTCCGTTGAAAGCCAAACACGTGGAACGTCGCCCGGTAATTGCGCAAAATATCCAGAGTACCGGACTTCGATTGTTACTCACCGTGCATGCGGCGTATAACTTGCCTACACGGAAAACAGCTGCTGATGCACGCCCATCAGGTGTCACTCGCCACACCGAAGTGAGTCCGTCAAATTCATTTGATATCGTTTGAAAGATTTTTTGTCAGATAATGCCCATATTTTGATCAAAGTCTGCACAATGCGGTTCACCAGATGTGTATTGCGCAACTATACGCACCGTGTGGCTACGAAACCTGACCTCTCCGAGCTGATCATGTCCAACGACTATCCTTATTCAACAACCATTGTCTGCGCAATATCATCCGCGTAACGTAGGAGCATCGAGCGAATTACGATGAGGCCAGACGACGTGTGTTAAAATCAGATAGTCTTCCGTTGAGCAAACCATTTCACTGCATCGTCTTAGGTGGCTAGAGCACGTCCTACAAATGCCTGAGCAACGTCTGCCACACCGTACACAATTCGCAGCTATCGTTTACAGCTGGAAGAAACAGCCAGGAGGGCAGGCTATGACGTGTCGCAGAAGGTTTACACGATTGTGCTCGGATCTGGCTTCCGTTGGGGCTTCCCAGCTCCCCATCTGGGGCCTCAAAGATTCAGATTGTCTTTGGCTGGAGACACTGCGGGATATGGTATCGAACCGAAGTCAGTGGTGCGAATGCATCCTCTCTTGTCTTTAATCCTACAAATAAACGAAAACGAAATAAAAGCTCAAAATGGCGTGCAGTAAACAAACAAAATATTGTTACTCCCCGAAGTTGACTGTTTTACTTTCCCCGCTTCTGTACCTATACTTTTTCTCTCACGCATGGTGTTAAATATATATATATATAATCTTTATCCCGAAAAATGCCTTGAATGTATTTTTACTCTGAGCTGTTCCCTATCTCCCTCCGGTAATGTACAGATTCAGAGAAAGCCATATAAAAGTACTTAGGCGGCACACGTGAAAGTAACCATCACTGGTCTTTACATATCCAAACTGTTGCTCGCAAGCTGAAAGTTTTCAGACAAGAACAATTCTGCTCTGATTTGTCGGTGATAGACGCTTTTGTGTTCTCCCTGTACCGCTTTACTACTCCCCTGTAATTTTCTCCGGTTTGCTAAAGGTTGATTTCAAGTTGCTGAGGTGTGGCCTCTCAATGATCAGCCGTGTCTCCCAAATTCCTTTATCTGTTCTGATTGTTCTGATGCGTGCTTAAGGTTTGCTGACAATATCCTATCTGAATGCATCCATCCTTTACACACTGACCTGTATGCATGCAAATCCTATCCCTCCATGTGTTCTAAGTATAAACTTATCCCGTCTCGCGTATCTGCATACAGAAACTCTTTGTCACCTTATCTTGCCCGGATACTGACCGACAAGGAAAGCGGTCTTGCTCAGCTTTCTAATGTATTTTGTAGTTAACTCCTGGTTGTGCGCGTTTTACGTCCCTCTTTTCCACCCCTCATTTTTACCAGAATTGTAACGAGGGCTTATTTTTGGCTGAAAGCTTGTATATAACTCGCTAAGGCTTCAATACAATACAATACAATACAATAGTAGTGAAAAAAGGTAAAATGAATCTATTGAATGGTTGCAATAACCCCTGTTCATTGGTACAATATTAAGTCTCATTCATGTAGAAGGCGGATTTGTTCTACCCAAGGAAAGTACTCGAGCGTAACACAAATTGTCAGCAAAGAGATAAAGTTGTATGATGAGGAGAGGGTGTAACCAAACACACATACACATCACTCAGAGTCAACCACAACAGTTCAAACTGCACACAGTTCACTGATTGAGTTTAAGAAAAGAGATGAGAGTTTTGTTCTCGGTACACGTGAAGCAAACCGTAAGACATAATTCCCGAAGGACTATAATCCTCTCTTCTGTTCGTTGATCGATTGTCCACCGTTCCATTCTACAGATCCATCTACCGCTTCTAATCAGTCAACCCAGTTACTGTTTCCGCCACCGCCCCCTGCCGCCTCCAAGGGACCCGAAGGTTTTCTCCTCTTTCCTTATTCACTTTTACTGAATGTCGGCATATTCTTTAGCTGAGTTTCATTCAGGCGATATTTGGGTTTGATTTTCTTTCGAGAAAGAGAG